CGCGTAATCAGGTCTCGTGTGTTTTAACCCAAGTGTTATACCAGTTCTCGCCTGGTGTACGTTAGCTTTCAGCCAGTTCTCGCCTGGTTGTCTATACCTCAGCTTGTTGTCCAGTCAGCCCGTCTGGTTCAAAAACACAAAAATCAATTTTCCTAACCTATTTTCCTATCAGTTCTCGCCTGGTAGTCTACCTTTGAATGCTAGTTCTCGTCTAGTATTTCTTATACTTCCACTGTGTACATAACCCATGTTTATTCTAAACCAGAAAAGCACAAAAGAACCTAAAGAGATCTGACACGATATTTCCCAATGACCCGCATGTTGTCATGTTCCCCGATACGAAGCTCGACAGATGCCAGCGCTTCGAGTAATGTTTGAATTCCTTGTGGATGTTGTTAAATCAGAATTGCCACTCTTCAGCAGATGAAAGTTGCTTATTATCCCCGGAAAAGTCGAGATTGTCTTTTACCCCGTATCCGAGTATGAGCAGGAGTATCTGCAGCAGATTAAGATTGATATCCTTGATAGTAGGAGCATTTCCAGCAGTGTGCCGCGCGCAATCAACCTCAGTTTTGGGTCAATCCCCGCAGAGTACAATCAGTTGCCAATGGTTTGAAGCAAGCATCCCCGAGCAGAGTTCTCTTTCTTTCCCCAGTGAAGTTGTCAAGCAGGGTTGCCTCTTCCACTTCTCCAACAGGGCAGTTATCCCCAGCGGATTTGATTTCTCGTTTCCAGCATTTATTTTGCTGAGATGGTTCTGTGACTTCAGGTCATCCCCAGTAGAGTTGACGTTTCCTTCGGCATTTATTTTGCCAAGTGGTTTTCAGACCTGGTGTTCTCTGGCAGCTCGAGCCTGCATTAGCATTTGCATATATAGTCATAGCATTTATACAAGCATATAGCATATCCATGCCGTCTGGGCCTCGCATTTTCAAACAAAACGCATAGCATTTACATGTCATATAGGGCATTGCATCATTTCAAGCATACGCATGTCGAAACATAGACCAAGATGGTTACCTATTGGATTTCGAATTTGTTCACCTGCAGAGTTGTGTGGTTCAGCTTCTCGTCTTCCCTAGTGGAGTGATTCTTCATTTGGTTGTTACGTCAGCATCGGAAAAAAACAACAACAACAACAACAAAGATTGACATATATCAGACTTCTGAAGCTGCCCCCTTCGTCAAAATAGGTGCCAGGCAGTTCCATTCAGAATTCCCCAGGAGAATTGTCCTCAAGTTCGCAATGAACTGTGAGTTGACCAGATTTGATCCCATGAGAGAGATGGGAATCAAGGTGTTTGCTTTACGAAGCATTATTTCAATACTTGTGGCGTCACACAGGTGTTGAAAAGGAGAAGAAAATTGTATCAGGAAATTGACCAGATGTTGCCGTTACAACCAAACTTCAGTTTAGTGGAAGCTATTCCTCAAGCAGCTTTGATGTATATTCTTGCGGTTGGCAAATTTCAGGGTTCCATTTGTATTCAACCGTCATCTACCTTGAATGTTTGAAGGCTGAGCGCTCTTCACCCATTCAGGTCGAAGTCGCTTGAATAGGGGCAGCTGTTGCACCCCAAAATTTGACCAACCGGGTCTCGCATTTGGCTCGATGTCTCGACGCATAATCGCATTCGCATCTGCATATCGCATACATTGCATTGTGCATTGATTTTGATTTTATCAGGGATCACAGCTCCCGTCTCGTGTTTCAGGTGTTTTTGATCAGTAGAATCAATTTTTGGGATTTTTTCGGTGCCCGTTTATTTTTACCGATTATTTTTGTGTCGTTCGGTGCTCATTTTGTCCCTCTGGGAATCATGGTGTTTTTTCTGGATTTTATAGGATTTTTTAAGGTTTTAAATAGCTTTTAAGTCATTTTTTAGGATTTAATAGAATTTTTGATATTTTTAATTCTCTTTAAATCATTTTTTAGCATTTTATAGAATATTGATAGATTTAATTCATTTTTAGAATATTATTAGAATTTAAATAGATCTTAAATAGTTTTAATTCTTTTAAATAGATTTTTAAGCATTTTAGATATTTTCAAATAGCATTTTTTCATTTTAGAATAATATAGGATTTTCTGGAATATTAATATAATTTTTAAATAGTTTTAATATGTTAATTCATTTTTTAGAATAATAGAGTTAAATAGATAATAGTCTTTTTTAGAATATAATATAGTTAGGATTTTTAGAGTATTATTAGATTAATAGTTAATTGAGTTTAATTAGGATTAGATGATAATTAGGCTTTAATTTTGTTTTTTTAGTTTTTTGTTGCAGTTTTTTCAGTCATTGCAGTTTTGGGTTTTGGCAGCAGTTTTCGTAGTGGGCCCAGAGTTGCAAGCCCAGTTCGTCCATTGCATCCATCAGCTTCCACCAAGATCCAGCAATTTCCAGCGTTGTCTAGGTTATTCCAGAACCTTCCAGAAGTTATCAGTTTATAAATACCAGCAGATGACACGTGTTGGGAGGAGGGATGGCCCACCCTGCATCACAAGAAGATGCCACGTTTTTCCACTATCTCAGCCCTCATCCACGTGTGCTTCATGCACGCGTTCCCAGTGACACTTGTCACCATTCCCTCTTCCCCCTCATGCATGCAGCTCGCCGGTAGCCTCCCCACCGACCGGCATGCAATGGCCGCCGGCCGCCGTAACCAACCTCTCACCGGCGAGCACCAAAATCCAGAAAATCAATGATCTTCATCTTCCTCTCTTCATCACCTTCTCCAGGCGCCTTCATACAACCTCCGATCTACTTCCGGCCGCCGCGAATCTCCCCAGAACGGCTTGAATCTTCAACCAACATTCATCCTCCATCATCATGTTCGTCGTCCATCAACGATCTTCAACTCTCCAGTTCATCAATAATCATCAACAAACTCTCAAGAACATTCATGCATGTGTTCATCCGTAAATCTCCAGATTCGGTATTGCTTGTCTAGCTTCTTCAGAAGCACGTGAAGATTCAACGATCCACCAAAGGATCCTCAAGCAATCATCATCAATCCAAGAACGCGTCACCAGAAGGATCCTCATAAGCGATCATCCATCTTTTCCAGAAATTCCCCCAACAAGAACACGTAAGGTCCTCGTATTTCTTCCAATCTCTAGGACGAAGTTCAACAAGCTTCCAAGAAGAACTTCAATCAAACAGAATCATCTTCCCAGAAATTGCTCCAAACATCTGCATCAATCTTGAGTGGTCTTCATAGCTTTCTTCTAGATCTTCATCACTCATCCTCAGATTTGTCAGCTCTACATCGCTTCAAGACCCATCAACACTCAATCGCAACTTCGTTCGTTCTCGAGAACAGATCTCAGGATCCACCTGAGTTGCTGTTAAGAGTTAGAGGAGGATGGAATCGAAAGGGTGGAAAGATCAGGATAGGGATGATCTTGTTAATTTGTGTGAGGCGGTGTTCTTCGTTCTGGCGAAGTTTGTGAACGGAGGAGATGGAGAGGGGTGACGGCGGCGGCGGAGAAAGTAGAGATGAAGCTAGGGTTTTTTTCAGAAATTGAGAAGGGAGAAGAGGAAGGAGAAAGGGGTATTGGGCCAGGCCCAATCAAACGTTTTTGGAGCCACACCTCCCTCACGTTTTTTGGCTGGTCTGGGCTTTGGCCCCAATTTTTCTGGCATACCCCCCAGATTACCAGTTACACCCCCTTCTGCGTTTTTTGAGAGACTTGGGCTGGGCCCAGTTTATTTGCTGTTTTTTTATTTTCTTGTTAAACTCCCCTTGTAGACAGTTACACCCCCAGCCCTTTTCTTGTTTTTTTTTATTCTTTTAAAGACTTGAAAAAATAGAAAAGAAGTGAAAAAAAATATGTTTGAGAAAATAGAAAAGAAAAAGAAGTGAAAAGAAATATTATAAGAAAAAAATAATAGAAAAAGAAATGAAAAAGAAAATATGAAAAAAAATATTAAAAGAAATAGAAAAGAAAATACATGTGAAAAAATGAAGAAAAATAAGAAAAGAAAAATAGAAAAATATTGTGAGAAAAAATAGAGAAATATTGTGAGGAAAAATAGAGAAAAATATGTTGAAAAGAGAAGAAGAAAAAAGAAAAAATATTAAAGTGCCGATTTAATATTTTTAGAGTTCATTTTCTTTTAGGGGTATTTTCATAGACTTTATTTTACGACTTTTAGGATAGCTTAGAAGCCCATTTGTTAGGGGGCTATTTCCATTCGATTTTTCAGGATAGAATAGGATAGCGTTTCCTAGGAGATTTATTTCAGTATCCACTCATTGTAATCCTTTTTCAGAGATTAATAAAACGAGATTTGAGCTGTGGTCCGATAGTAGCCGAACTACAGCTGCTCTGATTCTTCGTACCAGACGAAGATATGTAGGCATAGGATGCGATATCCTAGCGAGCACACTAACGACTGACTTTTGTTCTCTCGCGGCTGTGCGATCGAGACTTTCCCGCTGACGATTAATTGATACCCTTTTTCTCTCTTGCCCAAGTGCATTTGAGACTCAGCCATAGTTTTGACCATAGGTTCCCGACCCTGTGAAGCCAGTTATTTTTCTCACTGCTGTGTGAGAATGTTTGTTTAGCCGTAGTTAGTCTGAACTACGTAAAGCTCTGATCTTCCATCCAGTGGAAGTACGTAGGCACAAGACGCGAGGTCTTGGCGAGCCAATTTTCCCTGTAGTCCCGAACTACGTTGACTCTGACTTTCTCTCTTGAGAATACGTAGGTATAGAGTGCGACGCTCTATCGAGTCAATTCCCTTCCGTTTAGATTTAGCAGCCGTAGATAGATTGTTTTGCATCCAGTAGACAACCCAAGCAAGCGTGGATCCCGTCGAGCACGACGGACGTGAGGGGTGCTAATACCTTCCCCTTGCGTAACCGACTCCCGAACCCAGGCTATGGTTGCGATGACCATACCTTTTCCCCGTTTTTTGCGAGGTTTACTTCGAGCGTTTCCTTTCCCGCTCTGAGGGATAAATAACGCACGGTGGCGACTCTTCTGTTCAGCCGGCGCCGATTTTCGCAGTAGCGACAATATCCCGCGTCACTTGCTCTATAATATCCTTAGTAAGCTCGACCTTTATGGTCTCTATTTGGTCCTTATTCATAATAGGCGGGGTACTAAAATTTTTACGAGAATGGGATCCAAAGAATTGTCGAATCCCCACACCTTGACCAACAGCACGAACACGACTAGGGTGCTTACCTTGCCCCGTGGCTTCTATCAAAATATCTTGTCGTCCTTGTGGGATAAAGGTCCCTTCTAACACCAGAGTATCCTACAAATATCATCAATTCAACTTCAAAAAATAGTAAAAACTGATATGTCGGTGCATTAATTCTTTTTTCCACCGCATAGAACAACACACTGTTATGATACTGCATCTTTTTTCCACCGTAATAAACTTTAACAATTTTTAGTTTGACAGCATCTTGATAGAAAATTTTAAATGAACAAATGAAAGGGAATTACAATGAGATAGATGTGGATGTATATTACTTTTTTTAGGGTAGATATATATATTTCTGAGTTATTAGTAAAACAAATTTTACAAGTAAAAGACTTGTGAAATTGTTTTTTTCTTTTTAAGAAAATCACAAACCGTAAAGAAAAATTAGCAAAAGGACATGCATTCCACTCAGGGTTTGTTACATTATTCATACTATTATGTATAATTATGTTTTGGAAATTCTAAATCCATACTACATAACATCATTTTTTTTCTCTCTTTAGCATAACAGACCAAACATAACAAAAAGTAGAACACTGTCACTCATTTTAATAGAAAACAGCAATCATAAAAACACACCATCCTCTTACAAATCCCATAGTCAGCTGCAAACTTTAATCATCATATTCCCCACAAACTCTCTCTCTCTCTCTCTCTCTCTCTCTCTCTCTCTCTCTCTCACCGTCATAGTACCCACATTTTCTTCCTCTCTCAAATTCACAAACATACCCTTCACTCTCCATATTTAAAATTCAAAACTTATAAACAAACCATTCTTCTCTCTCTTCACAAAACCATAACATGAACATAACACTACCATTGGCCTTAACCTTAACCTTAACATTTCTCTGCACATCACCATCATTAACACATAGTACACCACAAAATGATACACACGCCCTCACTAAGTTCTGTCTCCAAATCAATTTCCACGGTGACCTCGTCGGAAACTGGACCGACGAGGATGCATGCAACTCCGCATGGCACGGAGTTGAATGCTCTCCAAATGGCAGAGTTGTAACCGTAAAAAATGATGTTTTGTCACCATGGCTATGAGGTATTTTTTGCTTTGGGTGTGAGAATCCTTACAGTTTTGTATTTTAGAAAAGTAAATATGCATATGTTGAATTGAAATGATGCATACCAAAACAAAGTAACACTACTTACAATTTTTTCTACAATAAGACGTGTGTCTTTTGATGTATACTCTCCTGATGGTTTTAGTCGGGATCTCTTCCACTTCTCATGTCGTTGTGATGGAGATGGAGGTGGAACCTCTGACCTTCCAACTGCTGCTTGTCTTTCTTTTAACTTATCTGACATCATATTTTTCTCAAGCAAAGCATATCCCCCTTGGGAAAACCTATGGGGATATTTATTATAAGACTGAGTCACTTGTCCCTTCTTTCTTTTCTCCTATTATATTGCATGTTGATTCATTAAGTTGAACTAAAAATTAGTTGATTCATGAACTAAATAATAAATCCAACTAACCAGAAAGGAAGGGTCCTCTCGCGATTTAACAAAATCCTTCCACGTTTCTTCATCAATATAAGGGTAATCATCAGTAGCAGACATTCCACTCTTATTTCCATTATTTAAATATCTACTTTTTAAGCTGTTTTTAAAGGCCCTCCAACGCTCACCCGCATATATCATCGTTTTCTTATCAACAACATCATTTTTAGAAATGTCCCATATTTGCTATGTTACACAACAAATAAAAGAGTTAGTACATATCAAAATATTAAAGTTATGTATAATTGTGACAAATACAATTAAAATTACCTCAAGTCTTTTCCATATTTCTTTCCTGTCTTCACTACCAACCTTATCCCATTCATCAATCAGAATACTGATTTTCTCTCGAGCGAGGCAAGCAACATGATACTTGAAATCTTTTGCAAGTTCCCATATAGTATGTCCATCTGAATTGAAATCAATTGGTATTCTCTCATCCCGTGCAGTCAAAAGTTGCAACTTTTTCATCCTGGTGCAACCTCTTCCTTTTGTTTTGGTTGATAGAGTATTCAACCCGCTTTGCGAAGGAGCTGATGCATCACCCATGTGTCTATTTAGAGGAGAAAAAACATAATAATGGTTAGTAACAATTCAAGCTCAATAATATGAAATATATGAAATTATATGACAAAACTATTGTACATGAGACAATAAAAAATACTTAAAATCTACATATTAGATAAAAATTTACCATTTCTTAACTAATTGTGTATTGTTTGAATATTTTCCCATATCCCTTCTTGATGATCTTCACGAGTGGCATACACCTCATCACCAATAGTATCTTCAACTAAAGTTGGCACCCGTTGAGAAAAAGAAGGAGTCTCATAAATATCTAGCGTTGCATGCTCACTATCATTAGGTATGTGGTTGCTTTTAACTTGGAGAACCACTAACCATTTTTTGTTAGAAGGGTCCCTGACATAAAACACTTGTTTTGCTTGAGATGCCATAATAAAAGGTTCATCCATATAGGCTACTTTTTCAAGGTCCACCAATGTAAAACCAAATTCATCATTCTTAACACTATTTTTTGTGTCAACCCATTTACATTTAAATAGATGTACTTTATATGTAACGAAATTGATATCCCAAATCTCTTATATGACCCCATAGTAAGCTATTGATGCCATAACAGGATTTTTATCTTTTGAACTAGAGAAGTGCATGGACTTAGCTACAACCATAACCCCACTATTTTGCACACTACTAGTGTCATCTTGGGTCTTTGTATAAAATGTAAAATTATTTATATCATAGCCAGTCCAAGTTATGATATCATATTTAGGCGCCCTTGCTAGACATTTCAATGTTTCAAAACATGTATTATCAGCTAAAATGGTTTTTTTAAACCACTTTAAAAAAGTCTTGTTATGCTCATTCAACACCCATTTTTCATTCATTCGAGGAAATGTTTCCTTGACAATGTTTTTGTGAGCAGAAATGTAAGGTTGGACTTCATCAATATTATTCAATATATACATTTGTGCTCGAATTACTTCCACTCGGCCTATGCTCTTAAGTTTTAAACCTCGAATACCTCCACGTCTGCCACCATGACGAGACTTAGGAATTCCTATAGCATCTGCTTCAGACATGTATTTTGAGCAAAACTCAATAGCTTCTTCTGCGATGTATCTTTCAACAATAGATGCTTCAGGACGATATTGATTCTTCACATACCCTTTTAAGATCTTCATGTATCGCTCAACTGGATACATCCACCTCAAATAAACAGGACCACACAATCTAATCTCCCTCACTAGATGAATAATTAGGTGCACCATGATATCAAAAAAAGAAGGGGGAAAATATATCTCCAGTTGGCATAAGATAATAGCAGCTTCATTTTCTAACTCATCTAATTTGTTAGGATCAATGACTTTGCTACAAATAGCATTGAAGAATAAGCAAGGCCTAGTTAAGACAACTCTAACCTTTTTAGGCAATATGCCACGAATAGCAACTAGTAGTAGTTGTTGCATCAATACGTGACAATCATGAGACTTTAGGCCAACCAATTTCAAATCTTTCATTGAGACAAGACTCTTTATATTTGAAGAGTAACCATGAGGTACTTTTATGCTACGTAGACACTCACAAAAACTTATCTTCTCATTTTTTTGACAAAGTATGACAAGCTGGAGGCAAATATGTCCTCTTACCAGCTGATTGTGGAGCTAATTGTTGTCGTATACCCATCTCAACCATATCTAAACGAGAATTTGCATTATCCTTTATTTTTCCATGAATGTTGAGAAGTGTTCTGATTACACTATCACACACATTTTTCTCCACATGCATCACATCAATACAATGTCTAACATCTAAATTGCACCAGTAAGGTAGATCAAAGAACACCGACCTCTTCTTCCATATATTTGTATGAGTGGTTTGTTTTTGGTTCTTTCCAAATAGAACGTTGACATCCTTCACCCGTCCATAAACTTTCTTTTCAGTTAATGCTCTTGGAGCAATTCCATTCTCCTGGTCTCCATAAACGCTTTTCTCAACCTACGATATAGGTGATTAGGTTTAAGAAATCTCCGATGCCCAAGGTACACTATCTTCTTTCCATGTTTTAATTGTTGGAAGCATGTGTTATCTTCACATATAGGACATGCCTTATGTCCTTTAACACTATAACCGCACAAGTTCCCATATGCAAGAAAGTCATTGATAATGCAAAATAACATTGCACGCATCTTGCAATTCTCGTGGGAATAGCCATCAAACACATCAACACCTTCCTCCTAGAGCATTCTCAAATCCTCAATCAAAGGACTTAGATAAACATCTATATCATTTCCTGGCTGCCTTGGGCCCGAAATTATCATGGATAACATAATATATTTTCGTTTCATTGAAGGATACAAATTGTAGATGATTAATAGAACAGACCATGAACTATGATTACTACTTAAGTTTCCATATGGATTCATTCCATCAGTAGCAAGTGCAAGCCTAAGGTTTCTTGCCTCATTACCGAAATCCGGATACAAATCATCAACTTTCTTCCATTGCAAAGAATCAGCTGGATGACGAAGTTGTCCATCACGTTCCCTCTCAATCGCATGCCATATAATATTCTTTTCATCTTTTGAATTAGCGAATGATATTTTGAACCTTGGAATTATTGGAAGATACCACAACACCTTTGCAGGAAGACGCTTTGTGTTTTCATCACTATTCAAATCACCATCTTTCACTTTGAAACGTGATTGCCCGCATGTGGGACACTCCTTCAACTCTTCATACTCATTTTGGTATAATATGCAATCATTAGGGCATGCGTGTATTTTCTTGTACTCCATACATGTCGGACACAATATCTTTTTTGCCTCATAATTACGATTTGGCAACCTATTTCCTTCAAGAAGCATTTCACACAACAACTCAAGTAGTTCGGTAAAACTTTTATCCGTCCATCCATTTCTTGCCTTCAAGTTGAACAATCTCAACACCGCATATAACCGTGTGAAGTTAGTGCATCCCGAATACAACGACTCTTCATTGTCACTGCACAAAGTATCGTACATATGAGCATGTTAAAAAGACTCGGGTCCAATATCATTGATCATGTCCTCTAGCCAATTGTGCATATCTAAATCAACTACCTCCCTTTCCGACACACTTGACGTATTGTTTGACGGTTCACCGTGCCATATCCAATTGGTATAACTTTGGCAAATGCCCTCACAAACAAGATGATTTCGTATTTCATCTATTAAAAGTGGCGGATCTCTATTCAAACAATTAACACATGGACAATAAAATTTATTATTAGTAGGAAGTTTTTCACGAGCATATTGAAAAAATGCTTCCATTCCTTTATCGTATTCTGCACCTAAACGATTAGCTTTCATCCAACTACAATCCATAACTATTTCTGGAAAAAAAAATCATTTCTTAGAAAAATAATGATTATTGGGAGGGGGAGTCACCCTTGTAATTCTTTGAGTCGTATAATATACAATCATTGAAACACTTCTGTGAGTATGCTTATGAATAAATTTAAAATTTATATTGTTTTGTGATTATGTATGCCTCGCTATTAAAAGTATACGCAAAACCCTCTTTTGGTGGAATAGGGTGGAATCACGCTAGTCAATCTTCAAATCATATAATCTACGATCTTTGAAACATTTCTGAGATTATGCTTATGAATAAATTTAAATTTATACAAGCATTTGAAGTGTGATTTAAGGACTTAAACTATATAATTTATAATCTTAAGATTTCATGGTTTACCATTTCACTACCCCTTCCCAACTTTGCGGAAAATTTCAATTTTAAAGACCTTGGTTCTACTTCTAACATGTTCTAACTCAATGTTATCAATAAAATTCCATAAATGACATATAAAGAGCCGAAAAATACAAAAAAAAAACAAAAGTCGGAAGCATAACTTAATATATATTTAGTAGCAATTGCTTCAGTTATTAGAAAACTGAAACAAATCAGTTAGTAAAACAGTCCCTTCTGCATGGACTAGCCTGTATTTGAATCATACAAGCATATAACATAATAACTTCAAAAAAAATGGAAGAAAAAAAAAACATATACATTTACGATAATTTCAAAAAAATAAAAAAACACATGTATCAAGAAATCAAATATTAACCAAATTATTGATAGAAAAAAGCTTCAAGAAACAAATATTCATAATACCTTCAAAAACTGATAATATGTGCTCTTAACTTAAAACTCTACCGGAAAGAACTAATTTCAGGAAAAGCTGCAACAACAAAAATTTACATTATATAAATTAACGCCATGAGTTCTTAGATTATGTCATTCAGCATCAAGATTAATCTAGATACACAAATTTTGAGAAAGGACAACAAGAACATCATAATGAACTTTTCCATAAAAGTACTTAAAAAAACACACCATACAGTACTGATTCCAAAATCTAAACTAATATCATTAAACATATATAACTAATTAAGAAGTTTATCAGTGAGAAGTGAAAAGCCTAAGCACATTGCAAAGAAAAAGATTCAGAAGCTATTAAAAGCACGATCAATAACATGTAAAGGAAAAATACAAAGCACATTACAAAAAATAACACTCACATAATGTAATCCACGTAGTTACAGTGATTTAAAATAAAGCTATTGAAGAAACTTCGAGAAGCAAAACAAACATTGATAACAGAAAAAGTGATTATGAATGATATAAAGAAAGGTAAACATTTACTCACAAGAATGAATGACGAGATTAAGCTGAAAGCGAGGTGGTGAATGAATAAGTTAGGTTCAGTTTGGTGTTGAGAAAATCGCAGAGAAAGAATGAACTAAAGAAAGGAAAAGTGAAAAGCGGAAGCCAAACGTCGCTGAAACTTTGAAAGGCGGAAATAAAATAAGTTGAGAGAGAGAAAGTAGAGAGAGTATAAAGTTTGAGGAGACCGAAGGTGAAAGACAGAATAATGATAATCAACAACCGCAGAAGCAGATGAAGAAGAAGAAAAAGGAATCAGGTTCAGCAGAACAAGTTCTGTTTCGGTTATTCATTTATGGACTTTATTCATTTTCAATTCCAAT